GTTTGCTATCACATTTGTTGTAAATGTTAAGCTTTTTCTCTACAAAGAGTTCTGAGATGGGGTTTCCTTTAAAGAAAAAAACTTGGAACTTTAAGCATTTACACAGAAGTAGAAAACCTTGTCCGTACTTCCTGGTTTTGGTCCTTCATTAAATGCATTTAGTGGTCCAGCTGAGTTCCAAAGGGAATTTCTTTAAATCGTGAAACTGCTTGAAATCTGGCTTCTGCCATCAAATGTTTCTTTTCTTTCGAAAATATTGAATGACTATCCTTTATTTTCAAGAACGTTTTCCATTGATAAGTCGTTGGCAATTTACATGTAATTGTAACCGTTTTTTGAGATGGTTTGCTGAAAATGATAGCTAAGTGGATCACTGATACAGGGTGATGATGAATTGACACCCTTGGTCTTCTTGCTTGTAGAAATTTGTGAGGAAAAAAAGTTATGAACTTTGCTTGAGTTTAGCAAAGTAGTCATGAGACGGCTATGAATCACAATGGCTGTCCTCAAATCCTGCATTTTGCAAGTTCTATTTATTGATTTTCGGTGCTTGATTTTGTCACATAGCAGCTTTCCTGGTAAGCAAAGAGATGAAGGGGAAAGCTTGGATAATTCTCTTAAAGAATCAAATCGTATAAAGCTGGTAATTCTTTCCCTTTTCTTTTAACTCTAAGTAATCCGTAAGCTAATGATTTGATTGTCTTATTGTTTTTTTGACCAAGGACTACTTTTTCCATGCATCTAATGCAAAGGCCTAGTAAAGTGCCACCAGCCATATAAATTATTACAAGGATCTCTTTCCCTGTTCTTCCCCACGTTTCTTTCTTTTTCTTTTTTCCCCCTTTTATCCTCTTTATTGTTACATATGATAGTTTATAAGATTTTCAAAGTGGGAACTACATAATAGAATTCTTTGATATAAATCTAGATGGAGCTGAATAAAATATTGCATTTATGCATGAAAAAACTGGGGTATAACCGTGTAAGGCTAAAGAATTAATGCTAAAGAATACTTCTCCATTTCCCAAGGCTCTTATTGATGTATGTGGCACCAGGATATGAGGCACTTGAAGAACTCTGCCAAAACCCAGAAGAAGCAATCTCCCACCCCAAGCTCTGAGGTCCGAAGCTCTTTGAAGCAAGAGGTGTGCAACTGAGTCTGTTCTATATCAGTTTAGTCATCTTTAGGTGTTTACCGGGCTTGAATTCGGTTTAGGAGTGGCGTGTTCAGGTCATTTATGACCCAAGAATAGGCTGCAGCTCTTAAGTTTTGAAGTTCTATTGCTCATTTGTTTTTTTTATCTTTCCAAAATCCTTTGGTGCAGATTTTGCAGCTTGAGAAAAGATTACGAGATCAATTTGAGATTCGCTGTGCTGTAGAAAGAGCATTGGGTTATAGAACCTCATCCCATGAAGGTACAGATGAAACATCAGTGTCCATATCTAAGGTAACTCTAAATTCTTATTTCTCTGGGATTTTTTCTGTTTTTCTTCTCCTTCAGTGATATCACTCTGGTCACCACTTCTAGTCTTAATGGACAATTAAATTCTCATTTATGCCAATTTTTTACCTTAAGCTTCTTAGAATTTAGTGTTTTGTCTTTTCACTGTTTCATTATACATTCTTCATGTCTCCCTCTTGACAGTTGACACTGCTTTTCTACAGCCAGCTGCAGAGCTGATCAAGGAAATTGCTGTTTTAGAATTGGAAGTTGTATATTTGGAACAGTACCTTCTATCCCTGTATAGGAAAGCCTTCGATCAAAAAGTGTCTTCAATTTCCCCATCTAAAGGGGATGAAAGGTTAAAAACTCCAGTGGACACCCCAAGTAAAAGGTATTTGGAGTTTTCCGGACCTGATGATGCATCGAAAGTTGAAAACTCAGCTGTGAGTTCTGGTTACCGTGAGAATTCAAGGAAGGAGCCTATTGGCATTGTAGGGGAAAAACTATTAGATTCTGGTGTTCATCGCTGTCACTCCTCACTATCACAGCATTCATTATTTTCGAGTTGGGCATCTCCTCTGGATGGAAGGTTGAAAATACCAGTAGATACCTCAAGTGGGAGATTCTTGGAGTTTTCTGGACCTTATGATGCATCAAAAATTGAAAATTCAGATGTACAGTCAGGCTACTGTGAGAAATCATGGAAGGAGCCTACTGGCATTATAGGAGAAAAACTATTAGATTCCGGTGTTCATCGTTGTCATTCCACACTATCACATCGTTTAGCATTCCCAAGTTGGGCATCTCCTCCGGATGAGACTTTGGCTGATAAAGCTGTACGTGCTTGTCATTCACAACCTTTGTCCATGCTGGAGGTATCTTACTTCTACCATGTAATCTTCTCAGCATTTGGATTTCGTTGTCAACATTTTCGATTAAATGCTGGTCATCTTACTTGTTAGTAAATCATTAAGTTATTATATAAGCAACAACTTATATTGTTTACCTTTGGAATAAATGATTGCAAAGTCTCCACTCTTGAAGCTTGAGATGAAATAATTCAACCATCGTCTCATTTTAATTGTATGCATGATACAACGATTTATCATTATGAGAGAATAAACTCTCATAGGATATGTATGACACTTTGAGGAATTTATGGTTTTAACATTTGCTTGGTTCTCTACAGTATGCTCAGAATTCATCGAATATAATCAGTCTGGCCGAGCATCTTGGCACTCAAATTTCCAATCATGTCCCAGACACACCAAACAAGCTTTCAGAGGATATGATCAAGTGTATGTCTGCTATATATTGCAAGCTTGCAGACCCTCCTTTGATTCAAAACAGCTATTCATTTCCCAATTCATCTATGTCATCGGCCAGTGCCTTTTCCCCGCCGGATCAGCATGACACGTGGAGTCCAGGGTTCAGAAACAATTCATCTTTTGATGTACGGTTAGATAACCCTTTCCACGTCGAAGGACTTAAAGAGTTTAGTGGACCATATAGTACAATGCTTGAAGTGCCATGGATTTTCAGAGATAGTCAGAAACTGGTTGATGTGGAAAACTTGCTACAGAATTTCAGGTGCGTCTCCTAACATGCAATCATCACAAGAAAACCTGTTTCTTATGATGCGGGGATTCACATGTTTATCAAATTGTCATGTTTTAGGTCTCTTATTTGTCGATTGGAAGAAGTTGATCCAAGGAAGTTGAGACATGAAGAGAAGTTGGCATTCTGGATAAACATACACAATTCATTAGTGATGCATGTATGTATTCTCATCAACGAAAAGAATCTGCTGTTATAAATTTGGTTCCGGTTTCACAGATATATTGTACTAAGTCTTTCCTATCTTCTATGATATAGGCTTTTTTGGCTTATGGTATTCCACAAAATAATGTGAAAAGACTATTTCTACTGTTGAGGGTAAGCTAACTTGCCTTCATTTCTGCTTCTCTTGAATGATGAAACTAGATTGGTATGTGTTATCTTATACGTTGTACTCTTCAGGCTGCATATAACATTGGGGGGCACACCATCAGTGTGGATAGAATACAGAGTTCCATCCTTGGATGTCGTATGTCACGCCCCGGACAGGTAGATCTCAAGCTTCATCTTTCATGGCCTCGATTTTGATTGACGGAATTAGTCTATATTTCAAATCAGACGATTTATCTTTTAAGGTGGGGCTGAAAAAGGTTTCTCCTACTTGTAGTGGCTTCGGTTATTAATTTCTTCAAGGAAAAAGTTTAAAACTGGAGACAGAAGGCAGGCATATGCAATTGAACATCCAGAACCACTTTTACACTTCGCACTCTGTTCGGGAAACCATTCTGATCCTGCGGTACTATATTGTCTTCGATCTGAGTGTTTTCCCTTCTATTAGCTCCAATGATAGCATGTTTAAGAACCAGTTGAAAGATAGCTTTTATCCTTGGTGTTATCTTTTCATATGGACATTGTCAGCCTTCTAATCATATTTATTATTTTCATTAGGTCCGAGCCTACACACCGAAGAAAGTATTTCAAGAGCTGGAAACTGCTAAACAAGAGTATATCAGAGCTACATTCGGTGTCCGCAAAGACCTTAAAATTGTGTTACCAAAGATGGTAGAATCATTTGCAAAGGACTCAAGTCTATGTGCAGTCGGTATCATCGAAATGGTCGAACGATCTTTGCCCGAATCCCTCCGAAGGAGCATTAGAAAATGTCCAGTAAGCAAATCCCGCAAGAGCATCGAATGGATCCCTCACAATTTCACCTTCAGGTATCTAATATCCAAAGAATTAGTAAGATGATTGTTTGTAAGCATCAATGGCATGATGCATTTTGAAAGCATTTATCATTTTGTAAGATTTCACATTTTTGCTTGTAACAAATAGAAATCGTAGGTGTATATTTTGTGATGCTAATTGTTATTATGCTGTGTTATGTAATGTGCATCAAGGTTTGTATACAGTTTTGGTGTGAGCTTTTAAATATCATTTCAAGCATCCATTTATTCACGAAATCTTAGTTACATTGCCTATTTGACACAATCTGTTTAGTGATTACGTAAGTATCAATTGGGTTCATGAAGTTCGAGTTTAGTCCAACTGATTCGAATTCAAGTTACCTTCCCGATTTCGATATTAAAAAAAAAAAAACTGTTAAGCATCATAACCTCTGATATGTGTACGTTAAGCATTAAAATTCCCAATACCTTAATGAATTCCTTTTGAATTGAATTCAACAGTTACAGCAAAACCTTGGTGCATTAATTGGCCTGGCTTTGAAAACTATGTTGAAGGTGTGTAGTCCAAGCCTTTCATTTGACATGGTTGCATTTACAAATCCATTAAAGTTTATAATAATATCAAGCTTCAGAGGGAACAAAAATGGCGATGAATTCAATAATCTTGTCGCCAAACAAAGTTAGATGGATAGGGCACTTTCCTAAAGTGAAAACACCGATCCTAAACCGTTTGACTTTACAGTCTAAATCATAAAATATTAATCACATTTATTGGGGGGGGGGGATGCAAAACCAGTAGCCAAAAAATTTACTACCTTGATCGCCTAAGGGTGAGTTTGGAGTTACTGGAGGAGAGGTCCACACAGTGTTTGCCAAGGCCAGAGCTAGCTTTAATGGCGAGGGAACACAAGTCCGGCAAGGAAAGCGGTTTATCAGATTGGGAGAGTGGCAACAAGAAGTAAATTTGTCCCGGTTGAAGCACCTCGTCACCGGGCACATGGGGCACGCTAGTGCCGATAGTCATCGACTCCGAGTTGCAAAGGAAGTGGCCGGGGTTCTGAGAAACGATGTTTTTGGCTTGGAGTGATTGCCTGAACTCTTGAACACGACCGTCCATGTGAACCACCTTGGCTGATGTCGATGAGCGTTTGACTGCACTGGATCCTCCTCCGACAGTTTTGGCTGTTCTTGAGGTTGAAGTTGAGGATACACAGGCACCCATTTATCTGTCTCAACAACTTTTTGGGTTCTTGGGTGTTTCAGGAAAGTCTAGCAAAAGGGCTTTGATTGGGGTATTCATTACAGGTATAATATATAGTGGGATTGTATATCATTAATTCCTTCCTGATATGCCTGCCTGGATGCAATCTTTTATATAGCTTTCAATACCGTTGATATGCACGAGAGGAGAGAATTATTATTTAATACTCTCGCGGTGGTGGATTTTTTTTTCAAAAATAGTTTTAATCTTTTAGTTAATAAAACTGTTATTTTTATTAAATAAACAAAATTATAATTTTAAAAAGAAAAAAATTATAAAAATTAATTAGCCATTTTCATTTTTCTAATTCCATAAAAAATAAAGTAATCATTAAATTATATTAAAAAAAATTAAAACAATCAAATTAAATAATTTTAAAAAACTAAGAGATACAAACATACATAATTATCGACAGGGAAAGATAAACATCAACATTAATATAAAATAAAATATAACAAGATCCTATCAAATGATCTTAATCATTAAATGAATTATTATTTTTCTTAATTATTTAGAGTTCAAATAATTATATTTATATTATCAATAATTAAAAAAAATCTAAACAAATATTCTTAAAGTTAAATTTTTACTTGTTTGTTGGACGGTAGTACTTAAATTTCAATGCCCGAACTAAATAGTATGATTTTAACTTTTTTTAGAATTTAGAGAGTTTTTTTATTCCTTCGTTGATCGTGAAGTTTTTGGAGCCTCAACACTCAACAGTCACATTTGACATAAAAGGTGCTTACTGACTTTCTTCTTTTAGTTTTGTGCGCCACACCAAACTTGGGTTCGCACCTCACAAACGGCCAAAATCTTGAACCTAATTTAAGGAAAGTCATAAAATTTTATCATGTATTGATTCATAATTTTTCTTAAAATTTAAGAACATTTTTATATATTTGTATCATTTAATAGGATTTAAACTCTTTTCAATCCTTCATTTCAATCATAAATTTATTTACATATGAATATATCAAATATTCCGAGCGATTAAAAGAAATGTTATTTTATTTAAAAGTTTTTAATTTAAATAGTTACGTCAGTATATACGTGTTTTAAATGATTAAGAAAAATTCTAAACATATATCACCTTATAATCAACTTACACTATTTTAAAAGATATTTACTTGTAATTTATATACAAAATTAGTATTTATAATATCTTTCATTACTTTTCAAATATAATCTAGTGTTGTTGTTGTTTTTTTTTAAAAATCAACTAATTTTATTAAGAAAGGAAAAAAATATTCAAAATTGTAATGAGAGTTACAATCACAATCGTAAAATAAATACATAATTCGGATATTCTCTCATAACTATTAACACGAAAACTAACAAGTTAAGATCATATAATGATCATACAATGAAAATATGAAAAACTCATCCAAAAAACTCGAACAATAGGTTGATACAAACAAATTTGACTGATACGACAGACAAACCACAATAGGGTATTTAACTATTGAAAAATCACCGGTAAACGTAAATTAGAGTCAATCATCGTGAGAAAACTATCTACGAATGCATGTTGCATATCCAAATCGAATTCGATGGTCCAAAATAGGGAAGACCACCAGGATAACAAATGAGCGCCATCTCGACAGTCGTGGTGACGTCAAATTCAACCTTGAAAAAAATAAATGACAAGAACAGCTAAAAGACCGAAGAAAAGTTTAAAAAATGTGTCATAAAGGCAGAGTTATTAGAAACAAAAAAAGTATAGATGCGAAATAAGAAAATAAATAAATAAATAAATAAATACCAAGTTGATGCCACCGTCTACCGACCAAAGATAAAAAAAATAAAAATAAACAATAGTTTATAGAAAAAAGTGGAAGAGGGTATTATTTTTTAATCTAATGTCGTTCTTATACTTAAATTTGAACAATAAATGTTTATGTCGATAAATGTATTTTAAGTACCATTTTACATTTATGATGATTTATAGATATTTAGTAAAAACATTTGATGGTCAATTTCAAATCCCCATCTAACAAGTAAACTTTATATGCTAAAAAACAGAAAAAGATTGCAGAGTTTGAAAACGATTAACTTTCTATGGGGTTTCCCTATTTAACCAATCCAAAGCTATGTGTGTGAACCAAAATTATTTACTTACTCGCAAGTTAGAATCATTTTCAGCAGTGAACAAAAGCAATGGCTTCCCTATTTATCCAGTTCATATTATGGAGTTTATTATTGAGGTATAGTTATAAATTTAGTTTTTAATGTTTATATGATTTTTTATTTTGATTCCCAACATTTTAAAGAACCAGATTTTATCTCAAATTATTTTAAAATACTTGAATAGTTTTTTTTTTAACAAAAATACTGACTAAAATGTTAAATTTTAATCTGTCCACGTGACATTTCGTGTGTACTTCATGCAAGTTTTTGAATTTTTTGTAGCTTCAAATTATTTATTAACATAACATATAAGATAAATATGAAATGCACGTGGATTATCACTTTAAAACAATTAAAATTTAATAATTAACTCAAATTTTCGTTTGAAAAAAGAAAATTTATTTGAGAAACAGCTGTATCCAAATCCATCAGGGGCCCTATGATCAAGGTTAAAGGCATTAATATTTATTTTTAGCAAAGAAAAAGAGAGAGACATGATGGAAGCTTTGGGTGCTTGTTGGCCCAATAGGAGTCTGGTTGAAAACCATGATTTTATTTTCCCCGCTTGTTTGTTTTCATGCACGGTAATTTTCTAAGCAGACAAACAGGCATTTGTGCAGTTACCAGCTAATGCTCAAGCATGTTAAACTATATAAGCCATTGATTCAAGGTTCAGTTCCATTCAATAATTGAAGAAAAGGGTTTTCAGTACAACAAGTTGACGATGATATGGAGTCTGCCGCATTACCAACCAGAACAAACAACATAAATTTACAGCTACTAGCTTCTAATGTTTGAAAGAAAGAAAGAAAATTGTAAGAATGACATGAAAGAGAAAGTCTCTCTTATCGTTTATGGCTCAAAATTATGTAGTTTGTGTTCATGGTTACTTTACTTAAGTCGTTTGTATATATTTTTTTATAGTATGTTTGTATATATTTTTATTCAAGTTTTTTAGTTGGGTTCTAAATTTTTTCCTTATATAATCTTGGTATTATCTCACGTAACTTCTTTCTTGTATCAATAGTTATAAAAATATTCTAATTACATATTTAATTTATAATTACTCATTCACTATAATTTTAAATATTTTTTTAAAAAGATAACGTCTTCTACAAAAATGTATTCTTAAACTTCAACGATATGAAAATCTCAAGTTTCATTTTTGAACAAATCTCAATTGATATAAAAATTGATGTTTTTTCCCCCTACTATTTTCTTTCCTCGTCCTCATTTTAGAACCATATTGGAAAAAATATGATTAAATCAATTACATCAAAAATAATATAGATAAGAGGAAAGATATGTAATTATAAAATATTTTGTAAAATTCATTTTTGGCCCAAATAGTAGTAAAACTGTAACACAATCCTCTCATGGGCAAATGAAACGTAAAGACAATAAGACATACTAGAATTTAAAATTTTAAGGTAACCACATCCACAATGACTGTCGACCACGACCACCTCCACCTCCACCTCCATTCCTACCGGCGATTAGACTAACACGTCCTCAACATCATTACTTATTTACAAGTATTCCACTCTTCATTCCCGAAAATAACCCTTCCCTATTCCGGGATAGCACTTAACATAGCCTTAAACTTTCTCCTCCCTCCCTTCCTACCCCCACCACAGCCGGAAAAGGCAACTTTCCGACAACGAGATTCCTCGGAAACCGGAAAAGGAGCAATGGTTTTACATCTGCACCCACAATTTTCACCATTATTACATTTCATCAAAGCGGAGCTAGCTTTAACAGCCAATGAAGCCATTTCTTTAGCCTGCAGAGGATGCTTAAGCCAACTCAACGGCAAGGAAAAGTAAAGTTGACCGGGCAGAAGCTCCTCGTCTTCTCCGATGGGTGATACGACGTCGTCGAAGTTCATTTCATCGGAGTTGCAGATGAAACACGCGGGGTTCATTTGTAGAACGTAAGAAACCTTGACAGGGTAAGGGAACTCTTGTAGTCTACCGTCTTGGAGAATCAGCTTGGCCGTGGCTACATGATTTGAATCGCAAGAACTACTAATACCCATTTTCCAGTTTCGTGGAGTTTTAACGTTATTGTTGTGTTTTTTTTGGAACTGAAAGCTTATTTGCGTTTTGTTCTCTTAAGCTTTGAATGAGTTTGAACTTCGACAGGTGAAAGGGGCAAGTGGAAGATGGGGATCGGTAGGAAGTTATATATACGAAAAAAAAAACAAGGGAGGGACCTTGGATTCTGGAAACAGGTTCCACGTAGGATTTCGTCGTGATGTGGCAATAAGCATTTTTTGGTAACAGTTGGCAAAACTTGCCAGCCTGTAAGTTGGTAGTGACAGGTTGTACAAGTGCTGAGGATCAGTTTTTTAAACACATCAGTCCTCGTTTCAAGATGATATTACACTGACAGGGAATACTTTCCCTGTAAATCTCTCTTGGTGTCTTGGTGATGGGGAACCAGTGAAGTGGCAGAAGCGTAATTTAAATCGAAAAATGAGGAGAGAGAGACGTGGCAGTATAATATTCTGCCATGGAAGCATAGGGGATGAAATTTGTTGCACGGCATAAGAAAAGACACGTGGAAGAAAAAGACCTCGGTAAGATTAAACCCTGCAAATTCAGACAATTGATGACGTAAGCCGATCTGCTGGTTGTATGTTTGGGATCAACCCATCTGCTATCATCCATTTCCATCCCCGTGCTTAGGTGTGTTCATTCGGTTAAAACGGTGGTCGATCGAATTGAACTATCTTTAATCGAATTAATCGATTTTTTTTTCTTTAATCATTAATCGAACCGAACTTTTTTTCAAACATATTAACCGAACCGAATTAATTTCGGTTAATTCGGTTAATTTTCGAATTAACCGAATTCTTTTTAAAATTTTCTAATTTATATAAAAATTAAATGTTTTTAATTCAAAAAAAGTTTATAAATAATTTAAATAATATATAATTATAAAATAAAAATTTCAGATACTTTTTTTAATTAATTAATATTGATTTAGATTTAAAAGTTATTGATCTTAAATTATTAATTGAGTTTTAAATTGTTTGGGCTTAGCCCAAATGTTATATATAATATATTTAATATTTTTTAATTAAAAAACAGTTTACAATTAATTTAAATAATATATAATTATAAAATAAAAATTTTATATATTTTTTTAATTAATTAATATTAATTTAGGTTTAAAAGTTATTGGATCTTAAATTATTAATTGGGTTTTAAATGGTTTGGGCTGAGCCCATATGTTATATATAATATATTTAAAATTTAAAATTTAAATTCGGTTAATTCGGTTAATTAACCGAATTCGAACCGAATTAACCGTTAACCGAATTCTAAAAATTTTCTTAACCGTTAACCGACTGAACTAATTCGGTAACCGAACCGAATTAACCAAACTAATTCGGTTCGATCGATTAACCGAATTAGTTTGGTTATTTGAACACCCCTGCCCGTGCTTGCTGCTGTTAGGTAGTTCTGCGGTGCGGCGCCTAAAAAACGGCTAATATACGGCTTGACCGGTTAAACAATTGACCGGTTAAAATTTATACCGGCTATGTTATATTATTTAACCGGAAATATTATAAAGTACAATAACATACTAGGTAGCGCTTATATAATGTAATGGGTAGCGCTTATATTTACCTATTTTATAAGTAAACCGGTATATTTATACCGATAGTATTGCAAATTTACCTATTACATTATATTATATTGAAAGTGTCCATACTTTTTATAAAAAAGACCGATACTTCTTTTAAAGTTATGTAATTTATGTTTCAATTTTTTTAATAGTATTTCATGTTTTCCACCTACAATATTAATTTAATAATTTTATTTGCACAAAAAATTATTTGATTTTTTGATATTTTATAAAATATTATTTAGAATTTTTAATTTAATAATAATATATATCGTAACGTAAAAAATAAATCATTAGACGCCTATAATTACTAAATTAATATCTTAAAACTCACTCAAAATATAACCTTAAATTAATGTTTTCCACAGTGAAAAAAGTATGGACACTTTTATAAAAAGGATAGACACTTTACAATATAACCACTACCTATTACATTATATAAACGATACCTATTACATTATATAAGCGCTACCTATTACATCATATTTTTACCTATTATATTGAAAGTGTCTATACTTTTTATAAAAAGGATCGATACTTCTTTTAAAGTTATGTAATTTATGTTTCAATTTTTTTTAATAGTGTTTCATGTTTTCCACCTACAATATTAATTTAATAATTTCATTTGCACAAAAAATTATTTGATTATTTGATATTTTATAAAATATTATTTAGAATTTTTAATTTAATAATAATATATATCGTAACGTAAAAAATAAATCATTAGACGCATATAATTACTAAATTAATATCTTAAAACTCACTCAAAAGATAACCTTAAATTAATGTTTTCCACAGTGAAAAAAGTATGGACACTTTTATAAAAAGGATATACACTTTACAATATAACCACTACCTATTACATTATATAAACGATACCTATTACATTATATAAGCGCTACCTATTACATCATATTTTTACCTATTATATTGAAAGTGTCCATACTTTTTATAAAAAGGATCGATACTTCTTTTAAAGTTATTTAATTTATGTTTCAATTTTTTTTAATAGTGTTTCATGTTTTCCACTTACAATATTAATTTAATAATTTCATTTGCACAAAAAATTATTTGATTATTTGATATTTTATAAAATATTATTTAGAATTTTTAATTTTACAAAATTAACCAAAGATAATAATAAATATGTAATATATATGTTTATTGTTTTTAATTTAATAATAATATATACAACATCAAACACATTCCAAGTTATAAATTACAAGCTAAGGACACTTGAAGAAGCAAGAGAACAACTATCCAAGCAATCAAAAACGAGAAAATCCCAACATGATAACAACTGAACATATCATATCAATGTTCAAACTCAAGTTGTAGATTTTGATTTCCTTTTGCTTGGCATCATATGAGATTTGAATTTTGATTTCCTTTTGCTTGGCACCATATGAGCTTTGGATTTTGATGAGCATCGGAAGTATTTCGGACTTATGATTTGGGTGGTACTCAGAAGCATTTCGGACTTATGATTTTAGTTTCTATTTGTTTACCACCCAGATCATACGCCCGAAACGTTTCTGACGCTTTAAAGTTGACCAAAAAATACAATGGTCGGGATTTCCCTCCCGTTTAAACGTTGGAAAAAAACAATGGAAATTAGGAATAATCAATGATAACATGCATATTGGCTTGGGCTAATATTTATAGTGGAGCCGAAATATATATTGAAATTCAAACTCAAATTGAAATTTAAATTCAAACTCCAATTACATATGAAATGAATTTGAAATGCAGTGTTAAATTGAACATAAAAATTGCATAATTGATTCATACTGTTCAAGTAACATGCTTTATGAACCATCAAGCTAAAAGACAATATTGATTGAGTTCAAAGCTGAGTTGTGAGTTGATGGAGTTGTCACACTTGTCACATGGTTGGAATAAAGTAATTTGATTTAATAATTTTATTTGCACAAAAAATTATTTGATTGTTTTGATATTTTATAAAATAATATTTAGAATTTGTAATTTAATAATAATATATATCGTAACGTAAAAAATAAATCATTAGACGCCTATAATTACTAAATTAATATCTTAAAACTCACTCAAAAGATAACCTTAAATTAATGTTTTCCACAGTGAAAAAAGTATGGACACTTTTATAAAAAGGATAGATACTTTACAATATAACCACTACCTATTACATTATATAAACGATACCTATTACATTATATAAGCGCTACCTATTACATCATATGTTTACCTATTATATTGAAAGTGTCCATACTTTTTATAAAAAGGATCGATACTTTTTTTAAAAGTTATGTAATTTATGTTTCAATTTTTTTAACAGTGTTTCATGTTTTCCACCTACAATATTAATTTAATAATTTCATTTACACAAAAAATTATTTGATTGTTTTGATATTTTATAAAATAATATTTATAATTTAAATTTAACAACATTAACCAAAGATAATAATAAATATGTAATCTATATGTTTATTGTTTTTAATTTAATAATAATATATACCGTAACATAAAAAATAAATCATTAGACGCCTATAATTACTAAATTAATATCTTAAAACTCACTCAAAAGATGTATATACCTAAATATGTAGTTAACAAACATACCTAAATATGCAGTTATTGTACATACCTAAATTTAATGATAATATATACTTGTAGTTATTGTACATACCTAAATATGTACTGCGAATTTAATGTTGTACCCACCCTTTAACTACCACTACCAATGCCACATCCTATTGAAAGCAGCACGACTGAAACATGTTCAAAATGAACCTTTGCTTACATCTCCATCAACTCCTGGAGCACTGAACTTGCACAACAAAATTTTTGCCATGGATAATACTGATGTAGACAATGTTAAGCCAACTGAGGAATGCCATGAAGTACATAATGTTGATGAATCTGACAGATTGGTTGGTCAGCTCTTCTGTTCACGTGATCAAGCTTGGCACTTTTACAAGGTATTCGCACGGGAACATGGGTTTAGTGCACGTAAGGGAACAACACGGCTTGACGTGGAAGGGAATGTGAAGACACAAGAATTTTGTTGTTCCAAAGAAGGGTTTCGAGTATCAAAAGTCAATACTGTTGATCGTCAACGTGCTTATACGCCAGTCACAAGAACAGGATGTAAGGCTAGAGTCGTAGTTACAGCAACAAATACAAACGATCAGTGGGTTATAAGTAAGTCTGATCAGAAACATAATCATGCATTGTGCACATCTGCTATGACACCATTTATGCGTTCTAATAGAGCTGTAAGTAAGGCTGATATCGATGAGGCAACAACATTGAAAGAGGTCGGTGTTGGCACGTCACAAGTAAGGCTATCATAATGTTGGATTTACACATAAAGACCTCTATAATGCACTTCAAAGAGGTAAAGCAAAGGAAATCGTCGATGGGGATGTGAATGCGCTTATTGCCTACTTTGATTATA